TTTTTAGTGACATGCAAAAAAGTGTGATAATTTTTTTTTTAACGACAATTTTATTAGGACTAACTTTCAATATGACTTAATGGGAATTAAGTGAAACTGTTATGACATTTTAGTAGCTTACTCATGATTTTAAGGGCAAAATCATAAGTTTGTTCAACTCATTGAGTTAACCTCAATCAATTTAGTGACAATTTTTCGTCAAAAAAATTAATGGTATTATCAATTGTACCAAATTGATACAAAATCTAAAATTAAAGGTCAAAATTGAGCCAGTTGAAAATGTAAAGATCAAAATAACATAAGAGATAAAATATAGAAATTACTGGTGTAATTTCTTAAAATTTACATTTTTAAAAAGTACTCAATGAGATCTATCAAATAAGATCTCAATTGAATATAAAATTATATAAAATGAGAAATATATATAAAACTTCACACGTTTTTGGATTTGATAGTACGAAAAGTTCACTTTTGAAATTTCACATTATTTATTTATTTATTATATGTAACGCCCTCAAAATAACAACATTAAACCCATCCATATAGAGACATGCATTGATACATAAAAGTCCACATTCATCTATTCATCAGAGTATTTCATTACAAAAGTATTACATGGTTACAACAGAAACAAATGCCTTACGGGCTTACAGCTTTCCAAGTTAACACTTGGTTACAAAAGAGAGTGCTAGCTTAAATACATATTAAGTCCTAGGCTCAAATCTATATGAAATACAATCAAGAAAGAATATGGCAACAAAAGTATGTCTGCCTCTAGCCTCCCAAGCTATGTCCTCAGAGGTGGCATGCTACCTGTACTTGAATATGATGTTCCCATATAGGGTGAGCCACAGCCCAGTAGAAATATATTAAACCAATTATGAACAATGACTAAGAAATTAGTAACTGATAGATGGTCAACACTGACACTTCCATTTACATCTTATTACGTTTCCATGACAGCCAAGTCTATGTTACAATTCACTTTTCATTTTTTTTATTCAACTTTGAGTTTGAAAACAAGGCTCAGTACTCTGGCCAAAACATTTGATGAGGTTACAGTTCATCACTAGAACACTTTCGAAATCCAAGGTGGATACACATTTTGGTGTTGTATCAATAACACATAAACTACTTCCATACTTCGCAAACAATAATGATATACAATTTAGTGCTATATCAAAATCAAACAAACTTTTCAATAGATAAGCATATGAGCTATATCACTACTACAACAGATAAGCATATGAGCTATATCAATACTTCAACAGATAAGCATATGAGCTATATCAATACTTCAACAGATAAGCATATGAGCTATATCAATACTTCAACAGATAAGCATATGAGCTATATCAATACTTCAACAGATAAGCATATGAGCTATATCAATACTTCAACAGATAAGCATATGAGCTATATCAATACTTCAACAGATAAGCATATGAGCTATATCAATACTTCAACAGATAAGTATTCTATCAACCGTCTACACATAATGCATATAAGCACATTGGTCATATACACATTCGCTCAATACATAAAGTTAATGTATTCTACCAACCGTCTACACATAATGCATATAAGCACATTGGTCATATACACAATCACTCAATACATAAAGTTAATGTATTCTACCAACCGTCTACACATAATGCATATAAACACATTGGTCATATACACAATCACTCAATACATAAAGTTAATGTATTCTACCAACCGTCTACACATAATGCATATAAACACATTGGTCATATACACAATCACTCAATACATAAAGTTAATGTATTCTATCAACCGTCTACACATAATGCATATAAGCACATTGGTCATATACACATTCGCTCAATACATAAAGTTAATGTATTCTATCAACCGTCATACTCTATGACACATCTGATTGATTAGTTTTAGTTTGCCTAATCATCATGCATTGTCTACAACAATCAACACTACCCTCCACCGGTAGCCCAAAGCAATTATTTCTAAGCAGGAAATAAATGCACAAGTGGATAATATACCAACATTTCAACTAGATGAGCAATAAAAGATTTGACTACACTCTTTAGTCTCATATATTCCCAATTTCAACATTTTCAATTCAATTCCTCGTTTTCTTCAATTAATTAACTGCATTAATTAATTAAACCAATTAGGGCAAATTACCATAATTCACAAAACAACCCTAAGGTTCCATTTCCATCAATGTCCCAACATTAATCTCATTTCTCTATGCCTAACATGCATATAGGTTTATATATCTAAAACCCCAACTTTTGTAAAATTTCACAAAGGCCCAAACTTACTCAAAATTACCCAACAACCCCCAACATATCAAAATGCTAAAATTCAAAGACAAAGTTCATAAGATGGAGTAGGTTATCCCTACCTCGAAAGATGGGACTCAACGAAGGAGATGAAGAAACGGAAATGCTCCAAATCCTGAAATTTTCAGATTAAAAGATAGCCCTCGACGATCAACACAACTTTTGTAAAGGCCCAAGGTGAGAAAACAACTCCTACTAGATCATTCCCAAGAGAGAAGTTAGGGTTTTAGTGAGAGGAACTCTCAAAATAGCTTTTTTGAAAAGTAAGAGAGAGAAAGGATGTTGAAAAGTGAACAAAAAGGTCGAATCTCGGCTTTATATAAAAGTCGACCCGCTCGAGCGGCCAATTCCTCGCTCGAGCGTCACTCACAGATCCCCGCTCGAGCGTCCAATCCCCCGCTCGAGCGGCGGATGCACGCTCCCAGAACTTTTACAGACATGGTTCTCGCTCGAGCGTTAAACTCCCCGCTCGAGCGTCAGACACAACTCCCGCTCGAGCGGCCAATCCCACGCTCGAGCGTCGACCACTGCAGACGAAATACTGGATGGGTGATTTCCCCGCTCGAGCGCCAACACCCCCGCTCGAGCAGACAAGCAACAACAGAGTCCCGCTCGGGCGTCAAAAGCGCAGCTCGAGCGGAGAGACCAAAAACTGGGCAAAGACTTTACGTTTTAAA